TAGAAAATTGTAGGTATTAACAATCAGAAAACTCTGCGATTGCAGATGTGTATCTATTAAGGTAGGTACGCTCATACCATTTTCCTCCATTCAAAACGTACCCAGAGACGCGACGAGACGCAGATATAGTGCTAACTATTTTTATAGCCAATCTAAGTTAAATCATATCAAAACATTAAAAATGTTTTGATCAACAGAGCGAGTCAAGTCCAGTCAAGTGGCAATCTCGCTTTAGTTGCAACTTAAGCTGCACCCAGAGGAACTCCATTGTCTTCCATATCATTAAGACCATTATATTTGCTTATTGAAGCGTAATTTCTTATTTAGCTTTGATCACGGGCTGACGTCTTTATGATTTTCAATAATCATTGTTTTATGAATCACAAACAATAGCATAATCATAATGCTAATAACAGCCTTCATTGCAAAGCGAAACGGAATTATATTAAAAACGTTTTAGATCGAGAGTTGACGTTTCACTTTCTCCATTAATTAGTACCTACGTGTATCTTTGTTTTTTATTTTAATTGAAATATGTATAAATAAATTAACATAGTAACACAAGTTAGAAAGAATATGTTTGTTTGTTCATCTATAATAATGCTCCAATAGATCTAGTCCGAAGCACAAGTTTGACTTGGCTAGCTTCGTTTAAATCGGATTTAAAACCGAGCTTCATACCTCTAAGAATTAGAAGCATGACTTCGGCTAGTCCAGCAATGGGTCGCTAAAAAGATGAATTATTAAGTTTGACTCTTGTTAGAGCTGAACTTAATAATTTTAAAAATATGTATCATCTTATATGTAGGTTAAAATCGTGATACTCGTATATTTTGTATGGTATATCTAATATATTTAAACGTGCAATTTTTGTTTATTTATTTATACCGGCGATCTCGGAAACGGCTCTAACGATTTCGCTGCGGTATATGGGTTTTCGGGGGGCGAAAACTCGATCTAGATTAGTCATATGTCTGGGAAAACGCGTCTTTTTGAGTTTTCTTGCGGTTTTCTTTCACATTACTCAATTTTTTATTTTTAAGCCAAATTAAAAAGAAAATTGTACTTTTGCCAAAATCTCGGTCGCCCAGGTACTAAGTTTGTAAGCACAAATTCCGTTTTTAAATTTTATTTCATTTTTCTTGTGGCACACCATGTTTTATGTCTTTCATTAGTATTTAAAAATTAAGAGTTATTGACTTTTGAATGTCAATTTTATTCGAATAAAATATACATTTTACTTTTGAAAAGTCGAAAAGTTGTACTTTATGTATATCCATAATCTATACTAATAAAAAGATAAAGTTTGTTTGTTTGTATAAACGCGCTTTATTTTAACGTGCCTTATACAGTCAGAGACATAGGCATATGTTTTATAATAGCTGCGTGTATGTAATGAGTATGTTTCCGACTGCATAATACTATGTCCTTTCGTCAAGTTGTTCTCATCTTTTTAGTTCGCTTTTTAAGCAGTCGGATTTTTATGTTTGTAATTTTGTTTTATTTATAACTTTTTAGTTTTGGTCAGTTAGACAATTTTAGTTTTATTTAACAATTTCTTATCTTTTTTATTTCTAAACATTTAAGTTGCATTTATTTTCGTAAGTACCTCCTAAAACCTGTATTTTGACCCGACTCAATTTATTCGGATGAAAAAAAATATTTCAAGACACAAATTTACTCCTAGAATCCGCCATTTTGTTTTTTTTTTTAAAAACCTATCTAAGGAAACTTGTGTTTTGAGACGAATCTAACGATACCTTAACTGTCGAAATCCATCCAGCCGTTTGGAAAATACGAGGTAATAAAGAAATTTCCAAATATACATACATAGATATGTACAAGATATGCGCGAAAAACATAACCCTTCGTCAAACGGCAGTCGGGTAAATAGAGCTGAAAAAATGAAAATAAAAATTCCGACTGCGTAAAAAGATGGGATCGAGTTGATGAAGAACCATAGTGTTTTGCAGTCGGAGACATACATACACGTAACTATACTCGTAGCAAGTATAAAAAAACGTACAAATTTGTCTCCGACTGCATAATACTATGTTCCATTATCAGCTTGTTTCTATCTTTTTAGTTCGCTATTTATGCAGTCGGGTTGTTTTGCCAATCGAACTACTAAAAATGTAATGTTGTTATGTTAAATTATATAATAATATAAACTCATAAAGTAAGTAACTCGATTATGTTACCTATATTTTTGCATGGATTATTTTATGCAATTTGAATATAACACACCGTGTAAATGTATCAGAGTACACTTGTTTACCGTCATTAATATAATCCATTCCTGCTTACTATAATAGACAAAATGTAATATAATCCCAACATAACTCATAAGCCAGGTAAAAGGTCAAATGCGATTATTAATAAATATCATAAATCATTTGTTTTTTTTCGTAGATACGTAATTTAATTACCTACTGGTTAAAGCATTTTTTAAATAAATTTAATCGAACTTTAAAAAAACAGGCCAAATTACGCTTACAATTTAAAATAGATTGTATTGATAATGTTTTTGGCGGTTGTAATTATAAAGTCTTTATAGTAATAATCACAAAAATCTATAGGTTTTACTCCCAAAAATATACACGATATATAAATATGTACTTATATATACGAAGAAAAACACAAGCATGTTATTATTAAATATGACCAAATGAAAATGTAGCGATCGGCGATCCACATCCAATCACAAATTTAAGTTCAAGACACGTCAAAATGATTTACCTTTCTTTGGCGCTTAAATTTAGAAGGCCATTAAACGGAACGAGATTTCGTTTGAAACGCTGGCCCGTAAAAGTTTCGCAAGATTTCGTCGTAACCCATTTTGGTTATAATTCACCGTACCATAACGCTCGGAGCTTTTATACTACGAACGAAACGAATAGGGAGAAGGCAATCGCCAAAAACAACAAAGAGATACTGTTATCATAACGACACTTTATGATCGCTAACATAAGCCTCAGACGAACACGACAGGATAGTAGTCGCAATGGACGAATTTAGATCACATTGTTTCCGCATTATGCCGTTCCTAAGAGGGCGATATTGAAAGTCCGTGGACAAAGGTAAAACCTTAACAATATGCTTATATGAATCGATCTCTGCAAGTGCAAAGCCTATTCTATACAAAGTATTTTTAAATTCTATTACTTTGTATTTAGTTCAAATCGAGTTGCAGATAGATATATACGTACCTAATACTAATATTATAGTGATGTCTTCTGAATTTACTTTGCTTAATTTTTTTATTTATTTAACGATATTTTATGTTGTAGTATTTTTAATTAAATATTTTTTAAATTATCGATAACAATCAATATAATAGCAGAAATACGATCGATAACAAATGTGCATGATTAGGCACACTAGATTTACCTAATTAGACCAAAAAGGCTAAAGTTAAAAGAAAGCCACTAGCTAAGGGCATTAAAGAGCGTCAAGTCAAGAAGCCGGCAGGTTCTTAAATTAGAGCAGACCACATGAGCGGTGCTCACTGGGCGGTCGATAGTATGACACGTATCGACGTTACGTTACACGGGGACCACAGCGTCGCAGCCTCACTGTTCACGCACGCGATCCACTGAGCAAACTGACATTGGTCAGATTTACTGCTTCCACGTCGTGCACTAGATGCTCGATCGTGTGGTCCAAGAAACGCAATAGATTGTGGCTCCTTATGGAAACTAATGAAAATAAGTAAACATTATATGAACTAGCTTCTTAGTAACTAGCATGACCAAATTGGAATTTTATGCTTAATTAACTAACTGATCGAAGTGAAATATTTTATCAAGTAATAGAATCGTAACGTAAATTGTTGAAAAATTCTTCAATGTAATTCTGCTCCATTTTATTATTTTTACCAGACTGCGCGACGCAAAGGAGGGTAATATATCTATGTATGTATGTAGGTATGTTTGTTCCTATGTGGCGTTCTCGAGTCCAAACGCGTAAGCAGATTTTAGATCGTTAGATTCCTCTTGTTAATGCAAATATCATACACTATATAAAAAAAAATAAAGATTAAAATGGCGGATTTTAGGCGCCAATTTGTGTCTTTAAAAAAATGTCTTCAAAACCAATCGAATGGGTTATCAAAATAAAGGTTTTTAAGAGGCGATCACAGAAATATATACAATTTATATATAATTATTAATTATGTTTAAAAGTAATTTAGGATAAAAAATTGCTATATATATATATATACATATATTTTCAAATATCTATATGGAAAAAGCTAAAAAGCTGTAAAGAAAAAAAATATTATAAAAATAAAAAATATTATAAAAATAAAAAACCCGACTGCATAAAAGCTAACTAAAAAGATAAACACAAGTTGACGAAGGAATAAAGTATTATGCAGTCGGAGGAATACATACCTATTTGCATACATCTTGCGGCGAGGATGAAACGTGCAATATTGTCTTCGACTGCATAATTTATTCTTTCGTCAACTTGTTTTCACCTTTTTAGTAAGCTTTTATGCAGTCGGGTGTTTTTTGTTTTTCTAATACATTTTTTTAAAGATTATTCAGAGATTGACTGTTATCATATATGGAAAAGTTTTTATTTAAGATAGATATGTGTAGATTTTTTTCTTTATTTTTAAATCTTAAAAATATTGAATAGATTATACATTTTTTTAATTCTTTTAAAAAATTTAGACCTTTTTGATTATACATGAGTATTTAGCGTCGTGAATATCGTTTCTAGTATAATCTACAAGTATTTGTTTAGCTTGGGCTGCAAGTTTACATTTAGATAAGACAAATTGTTGGCCGGTATAAATGTATAATATTTGAATAATTTATCGATAGCACATCACATGGTGGTATTTCTAGCGTATCATCACAATGTGCAATCGTAGACAGATTCATAGCGCGTGGGCCAGGTGCAGGAATCTCAGTTGCGCACGCGCACCCTCACTGCGCTTTTAATAAAATTCAATTCATATAAAAAAGTCTATGAAAAGCTGACGACGTCAAATGAACCGGTGCCGGCGTTCGGGTGCAGCTATGCTTCTCTGGCGCAGATCGGTCGCCCTCCGCGAACAAAACACCGTTTGCTGGGTGTGCAAACAAGTTTTGATTAAATGAAAAGGTGTCCCGGAACGGGTGTGCCGCTATATACTTTGAGTAATTATAGCTTATTCATTTCATTATCTAGTTTCGGTTACAGTAGATACAAGGTTACTATTGATTATTGTGTAAAGAGTTTTACTCTTTGCTGTTAAATAATGAACAGTCAATTAAAAGCAATGAACGTGTGGTTAAAATTAATTATATATCCATAGTTTACGTTATGTTTAGATGTCTCTCATTTTTCCATTTCTAATATAATTAAGAATACATAAATACATACTTATGTATGTACTTACAGTCGATCTCCATTTTTACAATAAAAAAATTAAAGATCTTTTAAAGAATTTTAAAGAAGATTTCTCCTTTACAATCAGATCAATCGACCATAAATTATACGGATACTTATAGAGTATTTTATGATTTTTGTAATTTGCATATTTATTTGAAAAACATTATTGGCTATATTGCCGATGAACTATATATTATTTTCATAGATTTGTCTATTTTTAATATATAACTCCATATAATGTTACCAAATGTAATGTGAACAAACAAAACTTTAACATAAGTAGCCATAGGAAAATAACTTTTCTGGGTTTAAGTGTGTGTTAAATATTTACATTTATTAGATAAATTTTAAAGCTAAAACCGTTACATGTCAACTAATCCCATGGCACAACCATCAACTTGTCCGGTTCTGCGCAGGCGCAATGATGCAGCTGCCCTGACACGAACCCGAGATTTCCCCTTACCTTTGCACTATAAATACTTTTCGTTACCGTGAATTATAAAGAAATCGAATAACGGCAAATTTTTACAAAAAATAGGCAACTATTTAAATGTGGGAATCCAAAAATACATGTTTCCCTAACTTCCTTGTTAACGGTTTCTCGTAAAAAGAAATCAAGGTTTATCAACCAACGGTTACAAAACATTGCATAAAGTTGGAGTCAACTTTTTAAACAGAATTTTAAAATATTAATGTAAGATTAAGTATAACTATAGTATCAAATTTTTATTTATATATGTAATATGTTTTTCAGAAATTTTTGTTTGAATTAAAGATATTACCAACATTTTCTTTTCATAAATTCGATTGGATAAAGGTACTGTAATTAACTAACGACATTTCTTTCTTAGAATTTCAATACATACACAGTAGCTTAATTTATTCCATGAGTAACTTTTTTCAATTTAATTCTTTATTTTTTTAATTTCCTAAAAATATTATTTCCATGTTTTGTATATTTCCTATGTACGTACTCAATGACGAGGTATTTGAGAATTAAAGATAAATTTTATTGTAGCAATGTAATTAGCGAGACTAATATAGAAATCACGTCAATACATATTTAATAGCTAGTTTAGAATTACACGAAGGATATACGTAAATGATACATGATAGGAATAATTTCATGATTCTGTCTACTTCCCTACTAGAAAATTATGTTAAAAAGTTAAGTAATACCTACCAAATTACAGAAAATTTTACGTGGGTACATAAGTTTAAATATAAATAGGTAGGTAATCTACTATAATAAGGCCAAAATAATCCCATTAATCTTACTTAATATTAAAAATGTGAAATTTAGATGTTTGGATGGATGCTTTTTACTCAATCACGCCAGAACGTCACAACGGATCTGGATGAAATTTGGCACAGAGATAGTCTGGAATAGCACAGAGGCTACTTTTTATCCTGGCAAAATGTACATTTCTCGTGAGCCAGATTTGTCTTTGTTGTTCTAGAGGGGAACCTGAGCGAAGCCAGGATGAGCCGCTAGTATTACAAATGCGAAAGTTTGGATGGATGGACGTTTGTTACTCAATCACGCCAGAACGTCTGAACGGATCTGGATGAAAATTGGCACGGACATAGATTATGGTTTGGAATAGCACATAGGTTACTTTTATCCCGGAAAGATGAACGGTTCCCGTGGGATACATTTGTTTTTGTTTTTTATTACTAGGAACGAACACGAGCGAAGCGAGGTGAATCGCTAATACATTACTGAACAGATTTCAATTTTTAACAAAATTTTGTCTAGTTATAATTTATTACTCGGGTTAACATTTAGGACATCTTTTTTTAAATTTAGTTCAAGCACTTTGTTTTATACTATTCTATACATAGTATAAAACAAAGTCGCTGTTTGCCTTCCTCTGTTGATGATACAGTTTACATATCTTAAGAGATACATTAAAACATATAGCAAGTGTGTATCTTTTAAAGTATACTCACAATAAATATTTATATCTATTTAAATCGTAACTATTATAGGGATGAAGCTCTCGAGCCATAGAGTATGGCGGAGCGAGGGTATTAGGGTAAGTCGCTACTCGCTAGTAGGTACATATAATACAAATATTTTAATATCTATTATATACATATATAAAACACAAATAGTTCTATAATTTGCTTTTTTCATTTTTAGGATAATCTTACATAGAAAGTTTTTTTTTAATTTATTAAAATACTAGCGTTTCACATTTTCTTTCCCAGGTTCGTTTTAACGGTAAGTATAAAAGAGACTTTATATATGTACAATGTAAATACATAAATATAGAAAAGTAAGTATTATAAAAAATAAAATCAATCCCTTACTTGAGAAATGATTGATTCCCCATTCAATCTTCCACCCCCCTTTTCATCCGCTTATATAGGTATGATACGTTTTCCGGGATCAAAACTATCCTATGTCATTTCCAGGGTTTCAAACTATTTCATACCAAATTTCATCTAAATCGGTTCAGTGGATTAAGCGTGAAAAGGTGACAGAGTTACTTTCGCATTCAATATTAGCATGGATATATAAAGCTGGCCTTTTTTGTGATGCTAGTCCATCATCATCGGTTTGGGCTGAACGTTGATAAGTCAGTTAGTGTTAATATTGTTAATATATAATAAAAATAGTTATTGCGAGTGTATCTTAGGAAATAGAATATACTATTGCGGACTTTTCTGTAGACCTTTATATGATCTACAATTTTGTAGTACATTGTTTTGATGTATCTCTTAAGCTTTAGCCAGCGGAAGGTTTCTAACGACGACTCGATAAAAGTGTTTTCGCGTGGGAGAAAAAGATTTTCCTGAGGTAAAAGATATCCTAAATGTTGACCCGAGTAATAAGTTATCACTTCACTAAATTTCGTTGAAATCGGTTCATTATTTTTGCGCTAACCGCGCACACACGAACAGACAAACAGACAAAAAATTTAATAACTATTATTTTGGGGTCTATATTGCGTACGCCGTACAGAAAACGTTAAGTCTTTGTTTTGTAAAAACATTTCATGTACAGATTTTGCTAAGTTACGGATTTATTACATGAGAAATTTAAATATGAAAAAGCGCTTATTTTAAAACGCGATACACGATGTATGAAAAAAATGTTTATGTCAAAACGCGATTTAGCTATAACATGAAATGAGTTCATTTGCTTTTATTCAATTCTCAACAAATAATACCTACGTACATACGTGAAGTAAAGTACAGAGTATGCAATGCATATTACCGCGTATGTAAGGCCATGCCGGGGGAATGCGTCTCGCGAGGGTGAAAGGTGGCCGGTGTGGTGCGGTGACGCACCGGCCGCTCTATAGCGTGTGCCGAAATCTCAGCTGTTACTGCTTTTATATACAGCGTGTTTTATTTATCTGAATAAATTCAAATTTGATATTAAATACTTATTTTAAAAATAAATATTGTTTTAATATTATATAGTTATTTTTATTTATAATTTGATGCTCTGCAGATTAAATAAATATATTTTTTATTAAATTATAGGTTTTGTATATACGACGTTACAACTAGAATGAATATTTCTCAATAACACTATGAATTGTTATTTATTATAGGCACATATCTATGTTTGTATAAATGTCCAATGGCTTAATACTTTTGATAAATTAATTTAATAAGCTTAACAAATTATAAACTGTTTCTTTGTCTAATAGCCAACTGCAAACAGCCTGTATAACAACATCCAATCCATCTGTATTAAAAGTGTTTATAAAAGCGTTGAATGGCTCTGTGTGCTTTATATAGAACTATACAGCAATACCATTATTTAAAATTAAACTACTCACCTACCTGCATTGCTTATGTCATTGGTATCAAAAAGATGTAAGTCCCAAATATTTTTAGTTCAAAAAGATCTCTTATATGACTAAATAAATTGACACTTGAAAATATTAAATGAAATCCTATGTGCAAGGAATTAAGGTTTATTTTCACATATTTATTTAAAATACTAGGGTATTGAAATATTAAAACACTTTACTAACTAAACGTCGCTGTGTATTTATTAGACTTTGTCGGTTATGCTGTTTAAATCTGTACTCTCAGAACAATGAATGGGGGAGACCCTAATCGAGTAACTCACTTTCAAAAGGTATTTGGTTGAAAAAAATCATATAGGTCTACTTGGGGTTCGGTATGGCGGGTAGGTCGTTTTGTGTAGAGAGCGCGAGTCGATGCAGATGTGCGATTCGGGTACAGACATGTGATTCTGCACGCGTAGCCAGCTGCCGGCATAGCTGTGCACTGATTCAATTCAATGCGAGGTCTATGCTCGTGGGTGCCTACCTATACGGCTTTGTGTAGTATTTTATATGAAGGTAAGCTCAACAAACAATGATACAGATACATACGACAATGGATGGAATAGTTCAGGTGTTCGAGGTGCATCTATCAGTATCCACGAACAACACATTAATCATCACTCAAATTTATGATACCTACTTGTTTAACAATTCAAACAATAACTTTTTCTAAAGGTATAAAATAAGGAATAAAAATGCAGGCTGGCTTTATTTTGATAACCTCTTGCTGTATTCAATCTATGACTTCCTGTACAAGGCTTCTTGGCAAGTTGGGAAATAATAATAGCTAAGTAGTAATTCAAAAAAGTTATTATTATTATTATGTATATTAATAAAATATCATCACATTGGTTAAATAAGAAAAAAATAGCATTTATTCACATTTTATATTATGTAACTACCTAACAACAGCGATTTTATTCATATGAAGTAATGTATGCTAGGTATTAACCGCCAATTGTGTGACATTGGGAACAGGCTGGCGTAGAGCACCACCTGCCCGCGGCGCCCCTGTCCATCGCTATTTCCGCCATAGCGCACGTCCCCTGCTCCGGCGCTCGTGCCGCGACCGTTACGCACGCGCCCCGGCCCCCGCGGCCGCGCACCTGGTCGACGACGCAGCCGATATACACCCCGCCCGCCCTCTACACCCCACGACCTATGGTGACATTATGACATAAATCAGTGTTTCTATTACCATATTATAGATCTAAATATTACCGTTACTCTTTAACTTATAAGGAATTGTTTTATGTTGCTTTATCTTTTGATATTTTCAACCAATACCTATGTATATATTTATTTTTTTAATAGTTTTTAAATATTAAACTAGGTTTTAAAGAAAAATGTTTTGTATCTAACCTATATACATATAATAATAAAATATGAAGTAAAAAAGTGAAATACATACATCTGTATTGAAATATTTTTTTAAAACTGACGTGTACAACAAGTACACAGATTCAGAATATAGACCTCAAAACAATTGTCGTCAGAATGTTTACCTGTTTCTCTATAAGTATATCTATTTGTCAGTTTGGCTTTTTGTATGTTTGACTGTATATCTCTGTGTGCATTTCACGCAAAAGCACTGAACGGATTTTAATTTAACTTTGTATAGTGATAACTTATTCGAGTCAATATTTAGAATACCTTTTATTACTAGAAAATCTTTCATTTTCATGGGAAAACGCATAATGTAGTTTAAGAGCAAGTCTCTCATCCAGGCATATCTACATGTACCTATATAGTACTCGTATAAAACAAAGTCGCTGTTTGGCTCTGTTTGTTTGCTATACAAAGGACTTTGATATAATTTTTATTTTTTACTAATCGAAAGAGATAAATGAAGAAAATATTTTGAACAAAATAGCTGAACTATGACGGTGTTTCGTCAAAAAAACTGTTTTCGTATGCTTACACGGCTAACGCTACAACGTTCGAAAAATTAAAAATTTTAAATAACCCCGACATGGAATTCGCTATTTTCGTGGTGGCGGCCACCTTGGATTTGAAATTTATCATAGTGTATAGTATTCTACTAGTAAAGCCCTTTCATTTGATACCTATATTGAGGGAGTTGTGAAAAAATATGTAATCCGCCATTTTGTGACGGCAGCCATCTTGGGACCGATTTTCATCAAACATAGCTAAGAACACTGCCGACTAATTCACTTTTCAAACAAAAAAAAATCATAATCGGTTCGGGAGCTACGATGCCGCACACAGACACGTCAAACTTATAACATCGCGTCGGTTTGCGTCGGGGGTTAAAAACCTTTTTAGCTAAAAAGTTTTGTTACCTAAACCTTTACAGATTCATTAAAACAATGTGCTAGAGAATTGTAGGTTTTAAAAACGTATACAGAAAAGTTCACGGGTGCATGTGTCCATGTTCTAAGGTAGATAAACTCACAGTAACTATTTTTATCTATAGAAAAGGCAGCTAGGGTTGCACCGGAGCAAAGCGAGGGTAAGTCGCTAGTATATTTATAAAACATTCATGTTATATGAGTTCTGAGGTACCATTTACAAAAGCTTTATTATTATTAACATAAATTATAATATAGGTTTTACCAACAGATCAGAGATGAGATATTTTCACGGAGTAAAAAGTAGGTTCTATAGGTATGTTGACCCGGATAACCAGCTATAATCATACCAAATTTTATCAAAATCTGTCCAGTGGGTTTCTCGTGATACATTCCCAGACATACAGACAGACAGACAAAAATTCTAAAAACTATAGATTCGGCCTCTGTATCGATAATAATGATTATTTCAATAAGATTTTCCAAAAAATATTTAATGTACAGATTCTACTCAGTTAGAATTTTATTATATGTATAGATACATATAATAGAGTCGTACCTACGCACATAGTGACTAAGTTCTGTAGATATTATATGAAATGTTTGTTTGTATTTTTTAATATAAAAATATCTGCAACTTTTATATTAGTAATATTAAGTAATGATCTCATTTAAGTATCTATCAAATTTGTTTGTTTATAGTGTTGTTTATCTTGTCGAATTGTTTACATTTCCCAGGCCTAATTAAAGATAAGAATCATTCATAAGTTCTCACTAGATGTTTAAATAATTACTGTCAAAGATTTGTCCACAACTAAATTAGTTTGTTTTTATTATCATTAGAAAAATAACATGATAATATGAAAGTTGCTGATGGTTGACGTGCATGATTTTGTTAATGTAATTGTTATAACTGACCACCAATCAACTTGATTAGTCACAGATGTTTAAATCGGACAGTTGATGCGCATGCGCATGTCGATCCCTTGACACATTTGCAGCCTGAGTCATGGTATAATTTCACAACACAAGATTCTCGTCATCATGATGTGGATTATCAGTTCATTTATGTAAACTTTCATATTACAGAATAGACAAGTATCTAAAGATATGTTCCTTTGTGATAAAGACCGCGATATCACATCGGCCATCACCCACTTATAGGTTTCTTTTTTTGGCAAGTATATTTCAATATCCTACTTTGAACTACTATTATAAGTAGGTATAATATACAGACAGAGAGAGAGAGAGAGAGAATAAGAAGTATGGATAACATAATTTTCAAAATTGAAAAAGTTTATACAGTCATATTTAATACTACTTTACATGTAATAAGTACCAACCAATTATTTAAATATTTCACATGTCCATGATAATTAGAAATAATCTTGTTTCTGTGAGAAAACTCATATCAACCGGGAGCTTCGTGGTCTGTGGGAATTAACACTGGTTGCAAAATACCATAACAAAGAGCTTATGGACGTTACATTTCCGTGTTACGAAGGGGTTGCACAAGACCCTATTTCATTTGTTACTAGTACCAGGAAATCTTTAAAAACAGGTTCTTGGTTTTACCGGTTACCGAATTGCGAGTATCGAACTAAAAGATTACGATTTTATTTGAGAATGAAATATTTAACCTACTCATAACGATTTGTTTAAAAATATTGGTACCTAGACTAAGTATAGTTGTAATGATTGATAAGTACTATAGGTATAACGTAGCTTAAGTAGAATTAAAGCAACTCATGAACGATAAATATTCAAGTGACACGTTCATGCGTTATATGAAACTACAGTAAAAATGTTGAATAAGCTAATTGAAGCACTTGTCGATCATCGGCATTTGATTCGCTTTCATGACCGTGATACACATACCTAGTGATAGTAGTACCTGCAGACATATCAAAGTAGTCAGATTCACTCTATTAACTTGGCAGTACACTTACTTTTTTATAAAGTAAAATAGTATTGACATTTAAATAGGGATAACAAACTTGTATATCATATAAGATTTAGGTTTAATTTATCGATTTAATTTCTCCGCTACATTATCGAATTTGAATTAAGGAAGTAGATAAATGCAACTGTGCTGATACTTTTATTTTTCTTATAATCTAAAGATTTTAATGAAGAGCCAAGTAGGTACCTACGTATTCACGGTAATGTGTCATAAAATTATAATTATTGTTACATATTGTTATAATAGTCTACGATTATGTGTCACTTCGATCTCATGTAACATGCCTTTTTTGTTAAGTAGGTCAAACTATCTATGGTATGATTTTATAGTTGGTAATCATAATAATAATAATAATATTTGCTTTATAATAAATTAGTATTATTACATAGGTGTGTAGCATAGGTAAACGTATAATGAAACCAGTTTGAGTTCAAATAATAATCGCGACGAGACGGTTTCGGTCTCAATTATTATTATGCGGACGGGACCGTTTCACAAAGACGTATGGCTCAGTTCAAAGGTGCTTAACCCCAAAAGTTGCGCAAAAAAATTAGATCGCGAGCTGAGACGAAAGTTCTAACCGGAACGGCGCTGAAGCTGGGCATATCGCACCGAGAGCGATGCGGCCGGGTGCGGAGGCGCAGGTGCCGCCGCCGCCCCGCTCCGTGCCTATTGGCCGGGGCCCCGCGCCCTCCACCGATTGGGTACGGCGCACGTGCGCTGCCTACCCGCCGCCACCTGGCCGGCGTTGACGGGGAGCGCATATAAACGGCGGTCTTCCCTCACCGCACCACTTCCAGTTCCAGACGTCGACGAGTGAACGTGTACGTCACTTGCGTTCCAAACACGGCGGCGTCATTACGTCTTGTTGTTGTCTCGTAGCATTGTGATTTATGGATTGTTTCAAAACATTTGTGCATTAGTGATTAATTAAATATTTTGTAACGGATTAACATATTAAGTTTTAAGTGTTTGTGTAAAAAGTGGAAGATGCTTGTGGAAGATTCTCAAACTGCTCGTGCGATGTTAACGAAGAAATATGCGCACTGTCCGCTGAAGAAGCGGCCGGTGCTGGTTCGGGAGGAGCGTCCAGCGACGCCGCCCACTACACCGCCTCACCCCGCCCATATGGCTACACGACTTTATTACGACTATCATTGTAAGTATTAAATTATAGATATATTATTAATTATTTGTATTGTTCTAATGTCAAATTCCAAGCACTTGATGAATTTCATAAAATGTTTTTTCTTATATTATACACAAAAAAATACTTATAAATATTCATAATGTTCGAACGAATATAAATCAAAAAAATTTGCATAGTTACTTATGAAATTTTTTTGACATCTGAATTGCTTGTATTAATTAATTTTATTTTTGTTAATAGGTGATATGGAAAATGAAGAACCAGAAAATCTTAGTACAAAACCAGAAGATTTATCCAGAACCGGTAACTATCCAAACAAAGCAACTTCACCTCTTGCGACCGCAGCTATTAAAGTTGAACCAAAAGACTGGCCCCAACAGCAATTGGACTATTTAGCAACGTGTCGTGCCCGATTGGAGCCTGTACCTACAGAAGTCGCTCGTCCTACACCACAATACGCTTACTTACCGAGTCTCTATCCAGCTTATCCTTTAGAAGAGCTCTACCCCGCTGCGCCTACACTATCGCCGCCTGCTAATCCACAACTCTACGTTCATTACTCGCCTGCCTCACCACCTTCTTCTTGTTCGCCACCACCTTGTCCAGAAGATTTGCGTTCACCGGGATCAGTCTCCTCTGACTCTGGAGTATCTGTGTCAGCTCCACGTCGTCCTCGATATCAGTGTCCAGATTGTGCAAAATCTTATTCAACGTACTCTGGTCTCTCGAAACATCAACAATATCACTGTGCCGCGGCAGAGGGGAGTCTCGCAAGAAAATCTTTTAGCTGCAAATATTGCGCTAAAGTTTACACGTCACTCGGTGCTCTTAAAATGCACATCAGAACACATACTTTACCTTGCAAATGTCACTTGTGTGGTAAAGCTTTCTCAAGACCATGGTTACTCCAAGGACATATTCGTACCCATACCGGGGAAAAACCTTTTTCATGTCATCATTGTCGTCGCGCATTTGCTGATAGATCAAACTTGCGAGCCCATTTACAAACGCACTCGGACGTCAAGAAATATTCATGCACAGGTTGCGGTAAAACGTTTTCACGTATGTCATTGTTAAGTAAACATTTAGAGGGTGGATGCGGCACGCCCGGAACATCTCCTTATGAATACCGTCCGGAAGCTCTACCAACTACACATACACATCAACAACTTCCGCCACCTGCGACAATTCATGCTTACTGAAAGACTGACCTAACAGTACCCTTGATCTCGAACGCTCTTGATTAAGATTGATTACTAACACTCACTACTTTAAAACTATATGAATTTATTTAAACTTAAATTATTTGTAAAAAAATATGTGTAAAAATTACGCATAGCATTTTTAACTGTTGTTATGTGCGTCATTAGGGACCATTTTATAATAAGCAAAATAGATATAAGTTAGAGTAAGCAATTTTGTAGATACGTTCAGTCGCCCTGTTTGCGGCATCGCTAGTCATGTGGCATTTGCCGAGTGTCATACACTTACTTATATGCATATATTCATATCCTAAGCCATGTACAAAGTGCCTTAATTATAGATGATTAATATATTCTCATAAATTTATAACAATTTGTATGTTAGTAATCTATTATTTAATACAATTTATGAACACAAACTATTCGTGAGGCTGTAAAAGTATGTTTTTTATTCTGATTTTCGTTCCTTTCTGTTACCTACATAAGCAGAAAAATAATAAATTATTTAAATACATATTTCATCTTTTATTCCATTTCTCTTACAATTTATGTATAGATTTGTATAGGTAAATACTATAAAATGTGAAGATTTTTCGTGATCTTTACATATAATAAAACAGTAACTTAGCGAAATTAATGTGCGCGTTTCACGCAAGGAGTATCTACTGGACCGATTTTAACTAAATTTTATGTAGTGAAAACTTATTATTCGGTTTATTATAAATAGGATACCTACAGGAGGAGGATAGGATACATTTTACTACAAGAAAATATTTCATACCCATGTGAAAATACAAAAACTGGTTCTATTGAGTCGTTCTTAGAAATTTACATGTCTAACGCTGTCTAAAGCTTAAAAGATACCTCAGAACAATGTACTGAAAAACTGCAATAGCACAAGTCTTTCTCCTAAGGTACACTCGCAGTATCTACTCATATCTATTTAAAACGTACCTAGCGACGAACCCGAGCGAAGCGAAGCTAACAATAAGTCACTAGAATTTAAATAAAACATCAATAGCTATGAATATTACTTTATAAGTTAACTCCTTGGCTCAGATGGACCATACGGATAGGATATCAAACGGCTGCCCCCGATAGATAGACCCTATTCGTAGGGTCTATCCCCATCCATCTACTCTGTCTGGTCTACTGTTGTGTACTAGTATTTTTTAAACAGGTAATTGAAATTTACACACATTTATTTTGGTATTTCCTAAACAACAATAAAAAAATGTGTAATAAATGAAAGGGCTCTTACTAAAACGTAAAACTAAAACTACGTAAAATATAGACCTATAGGTGTATCTAGTGGTGCTGGGTCGGAACCTCGAATCTTTGATACGCGAGATCTACTCGCACTTTTGTATTTTTTATCAGATATATCAAATATATATCTAAGCATTAAATAACTCATTAAATAAAATTATTTGTGTATAATATGTAAATGTTACCTAATAATGAAATTGGCTGGAGGCGGTCACATCAGTTTTAAATCTTAATCTTCGTTAGAAACAAACGTTTTCTGGGATTCTATTGAAAAAACATACCTAACTGTTATCCATATCAAGAATTTTATATGGGTAAGCGGACTACTATTATAAATGCGAAAACTTGTATGTTTGTGTATATTTATTGTTGTTTATACTAAAATGGCGGGATAGGTTTGTCACTGGTCGTTAATATTTTTCCAGACGTACAAAACATTTTCGTCCACGTATTCACATTAAACGTATTGAGTATTGAGTATAATATTATATGATCTGTGGTAGTAGGTACATATCCGGAACAATTCATTAAATATTGATATATTCCACATACATATTTGATATTAGGTTCGTATATCTCACGTGTTGCTATATGTGTATATTCTTTATACAATTATATTTTTATAATTACCTTGTGTTATTGTAGGACATTGAGTTTGTTGGACATAGTGATTTGGTATCCCACTCTTAACTTTCCGTCAGTAGGTACCCACCTACGTACATATCGCTACATAGTTTTTTCAATTCAACGCTGCCCTATTGTCTTTTGTCTCAACCGGTACACATACATATGTACCTACCACACACACATGTACATACTATATAATGTATTTATAATCAATATAAACATTTAATCTGTATTGAAAACGAACCTGTGACTTCGGAGAATAGCTACGGTCGGTTTTAAATTGCGTGAAATCCTTTTGCGTAAAAACGTATCTAATAATATTGCTATGGGGATTTAATAATATCGTATCAAATTAATGATAATATTGTCCATATTCTTATGTACCTATAGTCTATACTTTTTCAATTTAAATCAAAGATCACGGAATCATAAATGTTTTTTAAACTACGTTAACACGTGCTTGGAACCTGTGTAAAAATATATTTTGTACTGTACTTTCATTGAGAGTACAACTTTCTATTATACAGAAAGGATATAAATAAAATTATTATTGTTACATACTTAATTTTACCCTAATAAATAATACCGCCAATAACATATATAACAAATTTACCATGAATTTTATATGTTGGTGTTGGTTATAGCCTATAGGTATGTATATTGCAATTATAATTCAACAAATATTTCAATTTCATTTTTCATATCACATTGTCAGTGGAAATATTTTAATGTCATTCACTACTAAGAAAGTAGTCCAATAAGATAACAATCAGTTCTGTATTAACCTTTAACCCTGTCAGGCAAGTGCACGTTTTTCAAAGTTAAGATATCATTATGTTGAATAACACTTAATAATATGATTGTATTTTTTATATGGCAACAAATTTTAAACGCAAATACCATTTATAAACTACTTTTCTTGATCTCTTCGTTATTATCAGAAACGAGGAAGGTGGTAGTGCGTATTCAGATAAGAGTCGTGCTGGTGAATATCCGCTCTAGCAGTGAAATACCCACATCAACCTACACAAGTGCCAATTAGAAAGAGCCAGTGAAGTTGTTATAGAGAGCGCACGTGCGCATGCGAGCGCTTCTACTCTCAGTGATTGGTCTGCAGTGAGCACCGCCGGCGGCACGGCGCGTGCGCTGCGTCCGCGCTGCGTCCAACCCAACACATTCTAATTAATTAATTCTGTTCCTATTTGCATCACGATTATCTAATCCGAGATTGACCACTGATATGAAGTACCAATTAGAGTTCACCCTGTACACTGGTACAGTCTTATTAGAGGTGGAACTCTGAACTTTATATTATCAATAAATAAATTATTTTGATCTGGATTTAAATGATTTCAGTAGATTGTAATATCGAGTTGTTTACTTAACCTTATGTCTATGAGTATGTTTTTACGATTTAAGTTTATAATAATCATCGTCATCTATCTTTTAATTATCGATTTATTTATTAACTTATTGCAATTAAATAAAACTATCTTTTAGGATTTTTCCGTGGATTCTTTTTTATGAAAAAAAAACCCGATAACAAGTGATAAATTAAAAATTAAAAAAAAACCCCGATCATCTTGGACCGATTTTCATCGAACTCATACTCAATCAACTCATCAAACTCATCATATCTAAGTACACTCCCGACTAATTCACCTTTCAAATAAAAAAAAACAAAATCAAAACGGTTCATTCGTTCGGCAGCTACGTTGCCACAGACAGACACACACAGAGACACGTCAAACTTATAATTTTACATACACCCCATAGTTTTTGCATCGGGGGTTAAAAACCGAGAAAATTGTTTAATTAAAATGTCAAATATTCACGTATATCTAGAAAAAAGTATAATGACAACTAACCTCACTATTTTACAAAAATAAATTAAAAACGTAGCGAAGATTTTTATTGAATTCTGAGTAATATATTTACAATGAAGACTTTGACAAAGTCCGTTTAGTAGGTGTACCTATAGTGATCAGAGAAGTATCCTAAGGAGATATTTTGTCGAAACACATAAAAGACAATTCTTAATATTCTTCGATCTTTTTGATTCCAAACTTAAGTTTACTTTTAATTAAGCTGTATGACTTGTTATCTACGTAAACATATTACGTACCTAATAAAATTGCGAGGTGACAGTTAAATACAAAAGATTACAAGGAATATGTTATCAATAAAATGTGCCTGAATTATGTATATACCCATGTAGGTAATCTATCTATACATATAATTAAATTCTAACTGAGTCGAATCTGTACACTAAATATTTTTTGGAAAGTCTTATTGAAATAGTCATTATTATCGATACAGAGGCTGAATGTATAGTTTTTAGATTTTTTGTCTGTTTGTCTGTCTGGGAACGCATCATGAGAAAACCACTGGACGGATTTTGATGAAATTTAGTATGGTGATAGCTGCTTGGCCGGGTCAACATTTAGGATATTTTTTAGTGCAGGAAAATATCTCATTTTTGAGAAATCTATCGTAAAGTAACCGTTAAAACGTACGTAGAGACGAACCCGAGCGGAGCGAGGATGAGTCGCTAATGTAATAAAAACTTAATCGAATAAAACTTTTGTCGGTCTAAAAAATAAATGAAACTTGTGTCTTATTTATACAAGGAAGCTTTATTCTATGTAGAACCTAAGTTATATAACGTATATAAAGCTTGAGCTCTTCGTTGAACGTACTTCTTTCTACAAAGGAATAATATTTTCACTGTATATATATATAGTATTACATATGTATATGTAAAAAAGCAATACTCTATAATAAAATTAGTATTCTACTATAAATTAGAAGGAAAACTGACACCCTTTCTTTTTTTTTATAATATGGCTATGATCGTCAAAACTAAACTGAATAATATTAATTTTTATAGTTATAGTTAAGCACCAGTTGGTTTCAATAAATTACCGTTTGAAAGTGTATATCACTTAAAACTATTTCAATATTAAGATACCATGATTAAAGATGTATCAATGTAGGTGAAACTTCGATCCGTATAGATTTGGACTAGCTGCAGCGGCAATGGACTAAGTCGAGCTCGGCCGATAAGCATGATTTGTAACGTGGCACGTCGGCGCGTGCGCACAAATAAATGTGATTTCAATGCGCACCTTCCAATAAATTATCTAACCCACTCTTGATATGACAATGTTATAATTTATAATCTCTTCACATTTAGAACTTTTGATAATGTATGTCCCTACATGCAGTATTAATCATTTTAATATTCTTTTACAAACCTAAAATTCACTAGCAATTTTGTTATTTTTACAGGTATTAATGACATAAAACAATACCAGTACAGGTACCCCATCCCATCCCACACTGAAACATAAATAATAGGGCGCAGGGTGCTCTCATTTTATTTATTTTTCGGGCTATTTATTTTATTTTTAGGGTTTGGACTGAATAGATCAGTTATGCATGTAGCACAATGTGTATGCATTCAAAAGCAGCCGAATGTTTACAAAACTGTAAGACTACGATTTGTGAAGTATAGTAAAATTCAGATCTAATGTTGTTTACATTTGATTTGATTCTAACCATTTAGCTAAGGTAAAGAAAGAATTTAAAAAAGAAGAAAAGCAGTACAGACTAAATTAACGAGGATTGAATTTTGTAACATTAGTAAAATGATGAGATTAAATGATATGTGTAAAACATTTTACTGCTTCAAATATATAGAAAAAATTTAGAAACCTAAGTTAATATAATGACATGAAAGTTTAGATTGAAATAAAATATTTTTTGTAATGGTAAAATTTAAGTGAAACAATTCGAAATAATATTATTGTATGATCCGAAGCTGGGACTTAAAGGTAAAGAAAACGACGATTCCAGTCGGCTCGATAAATCGCATGATCCTGTGCCAATAACTACAGGCAAGACGGTAAGGTATGGTGCTGGGCGCGCGTGGGCGAGACGCGACGCGCTTCAACGCCTTTCAAAAGATTATTCACTAGTAGCGAACCTTTACAGATTCGCCTAAATGGATTCTACTACTTTATGTCCTTAAGCCAAGCTCTACGTTTCAATAATAATTGTAATTCTATTATATAGCAGTTACAAGCGAGATTTTATATATATTTTAACAAATAAGCCACGTACTAAATCCGTTCCGTACAAAAGACATCAACGTCTACATTTCGCTTAAAATGACTAATAGTCCAGTCAAATAAGGTCTGAAATCAAAATTTGGCATTCAACTTTGCATTTTTGATATAATGTAGTTTTAATGATACAAAAACAATGTGTAAAGGTTTTCGTGTTATTAGCCCCCGGAAAGGGTTGAAAAAAAAATTTCAATAATGTTTTTTCGCCATTACTCGAAAACGGTAAAAATTAGACAAAAAAGTTTTTATACACATATGTAGAACTTAAAATTTTACATAAAAAAATATCATGACTTTTTTCCTCTCGTCAAAATTAACCGAGTTATGGAGGTTTTAAGTTTAAGGGACGAACGAGGAAATTAAAATTCACTGTTTCTACTATGATTTTTCAAAATTTACGTTCGTCGGTTAAACTTAAAACCTTCCTAACTCGGTTCTTTTTGACCGGAGAAAAAAAAGTCATGATACTTTTTTGATGTAAAATTTTAAGCTCTTCATATTTTTATTAAAACTTTTTTGTCTAATTTTTACTGTTTTCGAGTAATGGCGAAAAAACATATTTGAAATTTTTTTTCAACCCTTGCCGGGAGTTAATGACACGAAAACCTGTACACATTGTTTTTGTGTCATTAAAACTACATTATATCAAAAATGCAAAGTTGAATGCCAAATTTTGATTTCAGACCTTATTTGACTGGACTATAAAGTTGTTTCAAATATGAAATTTTTATTTATTTAAGAAAAACACAGAATATAATTTCCTTTATTTATAATAAAATAAAATACCGAAGATTGTGATTTTTTTCTAGTATTTACCTTGTATTGTTTTCCATCTTTAGAGCATTTAATTAAAGAAAGTAGCATACAAATCGCGGTAAGTTATGATACCGATTGTTTATGAAAGCTTTGTTACGAGTTCGTTAAAGTACACAAGAGAACATAAACAGCCTGGCATAAGTATAAAACGTAACGAAGAGACTAGATCATTGTTGTTGGCTTCTTTACGTATAAGAAAAAATACAGTTGTTTTATAAATACTTAATGCACTTTAATTTAAGTTGGAACTTAGAATGGGAATCAATTCAAAGATTAAATATATTTTTTGCTTAATTAGCACATTTTTCTTCTACGTCCACCTACATTCTTAAATTTAAAATTTATATATAAATTCGATAACTGCCGGATGAGAGGGCTCTATACAAGCGCGGGCGTTAATACAATAATCCTGTCGGTATAAAAATTAACCGGTGTGTAACGGTACTGCGCGTAGGCGCCCGACCCTCACCTCCGACCGAGACAGAGATCTCATGTGCAAAATCATATCAAATAATATTGTCTCATTTTCATCGAAATTTTTCGTCGGATAATTAAGGATAATTTTACATTATAATTATATAGATTAGTACATTTTTTAACAAAGTTGCGAGTATTTATGTCGCCAATAAATTACAAAATTTACATTTAAAAAGGAATAAATTCATTTAGTATAAATTATTTCATCAATCGCAGAGATTGAATATTGCCCCAAAAGTATTAATGCTCAATTGGAGAAATCCATTATTATAGAAAGTTAAACATTATTGCTGAATTCCGTTTTACTTTCTTTTCACATTGTGTATCTGGAAAACATAAAAACTTAATCATATCAATAAAATCGCCACCACAAACTAAAGATGCAATCGTTACATATGCGGGTTTACAAGGAGAAATCAGCACGGAGATATACGCTCATCATTAAGTGCGATTCGTTAAAATCCTCCGACAGTAATATCTGTAACAACCAACGTAATAAACGAAAGGAAATAATAATGAATAAAATGGCAATAATAACAGGTGAAATCGCGACAGGTCCGGGTCTTGGACATCGTCATCAGTAATTATAAATAAAATAAAGCAACTGTGTGTCGCCTTGCCGGCCGCCGCCCCCGCCATTGCCGCGTCTACCGTACGAATCTCGACATGCTGCTTAGGGCTTAAACAGTAAATAATATGAACATTAGTATCGAGTAACATGTTACTCGATGACATACCGCTTTTATGCTACGTTACATATATATACGATATAGTATTTGAACCTCCAAGGCTAAGGTTATGGTATTTGTATAAACTGGTGAGTTTGAACACTCACTAGGGATGATACAATTAATTTGTACTATACAGTTTAATTACATATTATACATAATTTATAAAATTTACCTTATCTTCTAAGTCCAACTGTCGAACACATGGCGGTTTAAAGAATGTTAGTATGAGTGTAATAAAAAGTGGTAATGTCACGGTGATAGGGGTAGAGGGTGTAGAGCAACGGAGCGTGGCGCATGGTCCCTGGTGGGCTGCGCACGCGTCTATAATATGTACCTAGACACGTGCCAAACATTTCTGTTTGTTTGAATGTTATTCTCACATAAACAATTGACACTGTGCTTAAGTATTGTACCTATAGCTCTGTACTAGACTGACTTGCGTAATCTCGTGCGGGCTCTGATAACCTTTGCCTGTACGCAGCGTAGGCGATCTAGTTGTTTGTTCATCGTGGCCACCCAGCAGGCAGATATTAACCACAATTTTTATATATCTCCCACTGAGAAAAATGTAGGTAATACTTATAAATATGCTTCTAACTTGACTTTTTTAAAGTAAAATAGTTTTTAATGCCTACTTTATTAAACAATACCAAAACATTGTTCGCATAGTCGTTTATAAAACGAAACAAGTAACTAGCAATATTTCGTGAGATCTTTTCGATACAAAGTTAATAGTTTCATGTATAAGGGATAAATGTAACAGTAAAGTTGTACAGAACAGTTTGTACAGTACAGTTTGTAAACAATATATTCCGTTTTCGTTGGTCCAAGTTTCGCGAACATGGTAATATGTTTGCAACACTAAAGTGTCTATTATTACAGGATATTTCCACAAATACTCGTATATATGAATGTATTTTTAATTAGTTTAGATGTAGTTATTTTTCATCATATCAAAAAATAACAAAATAAGTATTTCAATATGTTGAATAGATTTCAAGAAAAAAACTCTTTATCAAATATAAATATCCGCATTAATCAGTAATCCTGTTATTGATATAGTCTGTGTGAGACCTGTATTCTTCTTCTTTCTTCACTTGTACGCATGAGAAATCTTTCCAACCTTTTCAGCGTTTAAATATTCTTAAAAACTTATGTTTATTTGCCTTCTGTATAATGTTGTCATAGAAACGAAACAATATGAAGGCGATGCCGTCTCAGGTGTTGGTGTTCTGTACGGTCGGTGCGCGCTGCAAGTGCCGGCCACGGTTGAGCGTGCGGGCGGTTGGCAGTTGGCAGCACGCGCCTCGCACACGACAGGTGGACGTCACGCGCCGTTACATTACTCATATATGCTCTAATGTCTTACATTAGAATTATTTCTATCTTCACTAAGCCCCCTAAACTTGCATTGTTCGAAATATAGACAAGACTGAACTTAATTGAACTTCAAAATTTACTAGCCTATATGAATATTACAAAATATCATCCTTTGATAAGCCATTGTAAAATCTAAAAGTTCTAGTTTTGAGGGGATTGTTTCTATATCGCTTAATTTTGCTCTAGATTTCTATTTAACGCTATTAAATATTAGCTTAATTTTCTAAATCTTATTTTGAAAATATGTTTAAAGAATCTGTCAGAATAACATAATGGAAATAATTAATAGCAACATAATATTTGACAATAACATGATAAGCACCTCTTAGCTTAGAATATATTTATATATTAATAGCTTGTATAATTGATACTGCAACGTATTGAAATGTGCTTCCGTGGAAGTGTTTAAGCACTTTGATGGTAGTATTATCAATCAATTGACGCTGAGCATGCAGCTCCCGGCAGCCGCGACCCGCTACGCCCGCACGTCCTCTCCCGCCTAGCCCGTCCGAGTGCTTCGACCTCACGCACTCGCAATTTACAGCTTTATCACCCGTTATTATTCTTAATAATATACTGCGCCACGACAACACATTAACCTCATCAAAATTCGCAACCCTTTTATTGTAATTATGATGGTATTTTACAAGGGAAAATCGAACATTCAATTATTTTAAAGCGTTACTTTACCGAATTCTTTATCGTGATGCTCACCAAAACATGAATATAAATCATTTTGTACGGAAAAATCTTTCGTTCATCTTCAATCTTTAGATTACGATCTTTCTCGTATGTAAAGATTTTGAGTTCTTCGCAATTCAAAAAGCTGTTTAAAACTCATTACATCACCGTTATGAGTCGATAAGAGCGTGAAATTTTGGTAATTGGTAATATTGTGGTAGGTACATAAAATATTCGGCAGTAATTTATTTTTTATAGAGACTGCAGGTAAATCAATTTAATGAATTTTTATGTTAAATAACTTTATTCGTTATATTTAAACTATGTATCACTAAAATTACGAAATTATCATTAAAAAAAAGAAATTTCACTTACGATGCAAAAGGATAAAATTATTACATACTGTATCAAATAAAATTAAAAAACTTAATGTATATCGCGTAACATACATCACGGTGAGATTGATAAACTGGTATTGTAAATATCACAACATTGTCGCATTGGTATTTTGAGTGAATCGCATCCGTGTGTCAGTGTCCATTACATTGTAATCAATCATCGCATATGTTCAAGTTTCAATCTCCGTTTGCGTCGTTTTGACCAAGCCAGACTTTCGACACGGGCACAATCAATATATGTATGAGCATGCCTCGTGACCATCTTACCTACCTACGTTCTCGCCTATTTTGTAATTCTTCACAGTTCATAGCTTTATTGACATCATTATTACAGAAAGTGCGTACGTACTATTTTATCTAAGAAATAAACAGCAAATCAAAGTATTTAAAATCAGCCTTTATCAATAAAGGCTATTTATTGATAAAGGCTATTATTATTCTAATTATCAACAATTGAACTGAACTAAATGTTCCCCGAAAAATATATACCACCTTCACTATATTACTTGAGTGCATGTCAATAGCGCGTGCGCAGTATTATGTGGAGTGCTCTTAACGATTTAAGTGTTGAAGTGTCGGAGTGGGATCATTTATTATTTTATCGTATAAGTGTATCTTACTTTTGATTTGCTTGAAGTAATTTTTATATTATAAGAATCGCTTTGTTATTAATTTAAGTACTTTCACTTACAGTATTCAAAATTCCAAATACTTTCTTTCCAAAAGGATTAATGCTACTTAAATTCTAAAAAACATTGCTATTTATAATTCAAATGCCTTAAGATAGAGATACATTGGCTATAAATCACATTACAAATTGTGCAAATTTCCATACATTATTGTAAAAGTGATGTTTATAATCAAACAAATTAAACGCGTGCGAAACCGCTAGGCACAGCTTGTACTTAATATATCTATCTTGAAGTCTTTTTAACCGACTGTCAAAAAGAAGAAGGTTCTATGTCTATCTGTATGTATGTTCACCGATATCTCGGAATAGGGTCGACCGATTTCGCTCCTTTAAACTGTGTTCTTTTAAGATACCCACGGTGATCCCATAAAATTTCTTTGACATAGAATTTTCCGTGTTCGAGAAAATCTGTGAAAAAGAGAAGTATGTTAACACATTTAATTAGTATTTTTACCTTCTGATCTGCTTCTGATTGTCCTATCGACTTCAGACTGAGCAGATGTTTGTATTTCCGATGATATTATAGTGATCTGATCTGATGGTGAAGCCTAAAGGTCGATAGTGAACTCTTCAACGGCTGCTAGTAAATACTTTGAGTTTGGGCTTTGGTTGTTGTTGTTGTGATGTTGATGGTTTGATTTGATAAACTGCATACGTTAGAATTTTTAGAGCAGTAATAAAAACGATTTTTTTAGTTTTTTAGTCTTCCTATAAAAATTGCTATCAAACTAACTTAAATGCCAAACGAGAATATTTTATTAAAATACTTTCTTCTTGCCAATTTTATACTAAGTCATTAAAAATGGAAAAATCAAAAATTTACATAAATTAATAAATAGTAAAAAAATAATAATTTTAAAACCACCTTTTATTTAAATGCTCCAAAAAAAAAGAAAATATTTAAATTAAATCAAACCCATTAATTAATTACGTTACACAATTTGAATAATATAAAAGCTTGTGGCGAGATATACTTAAATTTTAAAAAACATATTATCTATATGTATTTTTTTTCTTAGAATTACTTCTGTCAAGATCAAGTCACATATTTTATTCTTTTTTATCTATACAGGTAAATCTCGCGACAAGCTTTTACTCGTATATCATATAAATTGTGTAACGTAATAAATTGATGGCTTTGATTTAATTTAAAGTTTATTTTCTACTTTTTATAGCTTTTAAGTAAATACTTATTTTTAGAAACATTTTTTACTATTAATTTATTTTTATTTTATCTTTAGTTTTTACGTTATTCGTATTCTGAAAAGCAAATCCTTTCCTTTGATATCCATAAAAAACATAGTCCGCCATCTTTGGAAACCCGTCATATTCGATTGAGAATGACGCCACTTACGTAACCATGCGTTGTCATCCAAACTAAATGTGTATGAAAAATTTCAGCTCAATTGGTTGAGGATAACTGGTCTAAAATTCAGTTGCAATATTTGTCCCACACATACATACATACTAAAAAGGGCAAGTTAAAAAAAAAGCTTGTAAAACCCGACTTCCAGACATAAAAAGGACCGGCTTCTAGACACAAAAAAACTTTTTTGTGTCTAGTATTTTTTAACTAAAAAATACTAGACTAATCAAAAATAAAAAGTGCGTGTGTGTGCAATTCACATATAGTAGAATTGAAACTTCAGAAAACTAACCTACGAGAGAATGAGATGAATATAGAGATATGAAAATACTACGCAGTAATCAATATAATTACCGAAACAGAAGCTTCCATGCGCGAATAGCAACATTTAATTCGCAGATATTTGATAAGCCTACTTTTAAAGTAGCAGATATATAATATGAAAATACTGGTATATCACTATTTTTAGCCTGATATGTAAAATTGTGTATGTTTTCTTGAATTAAAAAATATGTAATGTTTCAACATACAGACAAGCAGATTTAGCTGAATTAACATAAAACCTGTTCCATCCAGAGTAAAAATTAAGAAATATTATTAATAATATTAAATTAATAATATTTAATTATTAACCCTCGACGTAAAAACGATGGGGTGATATAAGTTTTACGTGTCTCAGTGTGTGTCTGTCTGTGGCATCGTAGCTCCCGAACGGATGAACCGATTTTGATTTTTTTGTTTGAAAGCTGAATTAGTCGGGCGTGCTCTTAGCTATGTTTGATAAAAATCGATTCAATATGATCGGGGATTTTTTAAATTTTTAATTGGATTGAATCCTCCATGATTAAGCCTTAAGTTCAACCCTTTTGGATAATAATAGTCTGGACAAACAGACACACCATTTTAAAACACCCAAGGGACACCTACAAATCCTTTGATTTTGATGTACCGTAATGAAAAAGTCATCAAGACTTATGAAATATAAAATCCAGCAATTTATAAATACAAACAGGATCTGATTTACGAAAAGTAATAACCGAGTAATTTTTTTTCCGTAACGTAAATAAAAGCCTTTTTATTTTATTTATTATTTTATATTTATAAATTTCTACTTTTCAAAATACATTTTAAATAGTAACTAAAGTGGGCCCCTATAATAATATATAAGTACTAGCGGCTCACCCTCGCTTCACTCGGGTTCGCCTCTAGAAAAACACAATCGGATCTATCCCACAGGAACCGTTCATTTTTCCGGGATGAAAAGTAACCTGTTGTTTGACCGGCAATATAAGGTATCAGCATGCCAAGTTTTACTGAATTAGGTGCATAAGTTCTTGCGTAGGTACTAAGCTGTATAAGTTACTATAGTTTTTTAACTATTCCACGGGAACAGAATCTAAAATGTTGACCGGGGATATAAGATACCTCCATGCAAAATTTAATTCTCATAATTTAATTTGTCAAATAGACATACACACCGACACACAAATTTTTTTAATAACTATTGTTTTGGGGTCTATATTGTGTACGTAATAAGTTACAAACAAAACAACTCTATCACACGGGAGTCGTAAATTTTTCCGGGATAAAAAGTAGCCTATTTGTTATTGTGATGTATGAACTATATTATTGTAAAGTTTCATTAAAATCGAATTAAAAGTTTTTATGTACTAAGCTGTATAAGTTACTATAGTTTTTTAACTATATTACGGGAACTCTTTAATTTTCCGGGATGAAAAGTATTTAAGATGTTGCCCGGGGATATAAGGTACCACCATGCAAAATATTATTTAAATCGGTCCAATAAATTCGGAGATTAGCCCGTACAAACAGACAAACAGACAGAGAAACAAAAATAATGAAAATAATCTGGATATGTTCTATTTATCTTCTTACACCTCTCTGACTTTGTTTTTAGCATTTTTTTATGTACAGACATTCGACCTCTACAATTCTATTATAGTATAGATACTAATTACTACTATACTCGTTTAAAGAATTTTGGTAATTTGGACTAATCCGTAAGTGGTTTTTACATACCTACACAGGTACACTTTTTTCTATTTTATACTTTACTTTTCCCGCCTGCTATTATATTATGTCCATCGTTAAGTAGAGAAGAGAAACATCTGATAAATAAATAAAAATATATATTATAACTTATTAAAATAGGATCTGATTATGGTTTATTTCGACATAGATTTATGTCAAACATAAAACGTGTATCAACAATAGATGGACATCACACATTTCAGTGTGACACCATTTATAGGTGAGGCATGCGCCATGCGGGCACAGGTGTGCACACGACACTCGTGCAAGCGTGCAGGTAAGCTCGCTAACTGCACAGAGGTCCACCTGTTTTGTAATACTGACCAGTATAATAAAATTAAGATTTTTTGCTTAACAAATGTGATTTCACTTTTATTATAAAATAAATATACTGTAGGTAAAGTCATTAAAAATATATCGCGATGATGAAAATGTATATAATTTAAACTAAGATTATATCTGTTATTTTAAAGACTTTTTTATAAACTTAGTTTTGTTATTTATTATTATTTTAAGGAACAAATAGATGTGATATAAATAAATATAAAATAAAAACAAAAAAAAAAAAAATTTTTATTAAATTAATGTACACATGTGAAGTGTCCTTGCTTGTATCTATGTATTTATACAGACTAATCTTTGCCAAATGCGATAATTACGCTTTAAATTACGAAGTGAAATGCTGTTTGAAGTCGATTAGTAATGGAAACTATCCATTAATGAGCGACACGAGACGGCTGCTATCATTGGCCATAAGTTACACGAGCATTAGTGAGCTGGGAACTAATTGCGGAGGCGGACCAATTTCCCACCTAGTGCTCAAACAATTAATTGTTCCAATGAGTATAGGTATACGCATTTATTGTATAGTAACTAGCTCTTGTCTAAACTACTTAGCTAGTTTTGTCATATAACAAGACTTGTAAAGTCGTCTTATTTGTTTATGATTACGTTGTTACGATCTTATTTTGTCAGTAGTTTTTCTTTTTCAATAGATTTTTCAGCTAAAGTTCACAACGTTATATCTAAATTATTCATACAAAAAACCAATATCCCTGCAAATTGCAAATGTTTAAAATGTTTATAGATATTTGACCGCATAAACGCATACATATATTTATGACGTAATAACATATGACATGCAATGCTTAATAAGACTTAATAGCAATCATCGCCTTCAAGTAGATTCCCTTATTCCTTTTTGGTAAGGTCTATTAGTAAGTTTTTGCGTTACCTACTCTAATATCCTTTATATATTCTTAAATATGGGGGCCATTCGAAAGATTGGAATGAAAATTAGCTTAAATGGAGATGTTAATACAACGCATTATTAGTTTAGCTTCAAAATCTAAACTCACAGCCTCATTTACACTTATATAATAAATAGACTAGCGACTCACCCTCGCTTCGCTCGTCCCTAGGTTGATTTCCCATACAAACTTTCATCCCCATTTTCACCCCTTTAAGGGATGATTTCCGGGATAAAAAGTATTCTATGTCCTTCCTAGGGTCTCAAACTATCTTCTCACCAAATTTCATCTAAATCGGTTCTGTAGATCCAGAGATTACCCCCCTACAACATCACAAACTCACAATTCACAAACTTTACCTCATTATAATATTAGTATAGATATATTTAATTTCTTTCCATAATTAAAATATGTAATATAAATCGACACTTCACTAATCCATATTACATACATATTTGTTATATATATACAAATTCCATTACTAATCGAATTCATATAATAATTTAACAACAAAATAACAAACAGGAACTTCAGTGATGAGATGACTTGACACATTATTTAAATTTAAAACAGGTTGGCACGTCCGTTTTTTCTTACTTGTTATTGGATTGTTTTGTCGGCTCCATATTCCTAACTTGTTTTTGCAAAACTAAAAAATTATTGCACCATATGGGGTCATATCTTTTGAAAAATTACTTTAATGACAATGTAAAGAAAACATATGGCCAATTAATTTCTGCTAACTCTCCTAAATGAGCGCGGTGGAATCGTTTGAGAAAGGTGTCATAAAAAAGTTAGTTCATCAAAGACTCAGACCACATTGTTGGGCTTTTTTATATTATTTGGTTAATTGCATGACCTCTTTAATATGAAACAACATATAACTTAAAGACCGTGTTTTCTACTTAATTAAGTATTACTTAAGACGAATTACAGTCTTACAGATTACATATGAATATGTATTAGATACTGAAGTACCTAATGGTATATAATTTATAGATATAAATTTATGCTTAAGCTAACTGCTGTAAAAACAAAGTTTTAGGAAGGAAATGAAGCTTGTTTATTTTACTTATTGCTATTTGTAACGCTTGAGAGATGTAATTAAAATACTGAAGTATTACACAAAATACAATGTATTTTATTTTTTTGGTTCACTCTAATAATGTGATTGAATTAATTTACTATTTAATTTACTCATATTCATGAGTGCAAATGACTATGTGTGGTAAGTCACAACCTGCTCGAAGCGAGTTTCTCGACGCGTCGAGCCGACCATCTGGTGGGCGAGCGCTTTTTTTATTTTCCAAACGTGTCGTCTTGGATTCTTGTTTTTTGCATTGGCTGGCGCTCGCTTCTTTGCTTTTTTTATATAGCCAAGTTGCAGTTAACAGGTGGCTGGTTGTATGCAGGTGAGACCTGAGATTTTAACTTAAATCGTGTTAACCTTAGTGTGAAAAATCACGCGTGCTACCGCCAAGATAACAAGAATTAAAATATTTTTTATCCAATCATATCGTCTTAATATGTATGTACCTTTAATTAATTCCACCTCCCTAATAACAAAGCAACAATCAGCACATCAGTCGGTAAATTGATTAGTTCTCAAAGTATATACCTACATATACAAAAATATTATTTTCAATCGATTTAAGTATCAAATAAAATAAACGTAATGTGTGTGTGTCACTTCAGTCCCACTGTTGTCGAGTCAAAATTTAGTTTCAACATTAGATTTATTTTGTATCAAATATGATACAGAGTTCAATAAATTGATATTAAAATACAATCCGTTTAATAATATTACTGAAAAAATAAAGAATTATAAATAATAATAAACCAGAATTTACATAAATATAAAACTACCTATGTAATATGTATGTAGGTCGTGATAAAATGGCATAATTATTAAGCTTCGTCTTAAGTTTAAAAAAATGACTGAAGTGATGTTCTCTATCTTCCGTCCATATAAAATAAAATAGTACTAAATATAAAGTTCACAGACTATATATCATTATTTGGATTTTTGGGCTTAATAAGTATTAACTTATGTGAAAGCTTGAAAAATTGTGCCTATTACCGAGAGCGTACTCAATAGGCTGGCAGACCTGCACCGTTAGCCTCTAGATCACGACTCAGCGGATTATTCGAGCACAAAGAGAACCAGTGTGCGACGGACGGACACAATCACTCATAGCCTGAGTTTGTCATAGAGCAGCGACGACAACGCGTCGATCACTATGTGACACGCTTTGTTACAGCCTGCTCCGATTTGAACACTGATACCACCATTTCAATTGACCCACAAAATATGTTATTGTTCCAGAACAGCAGAGCATTCATTTCCAACTCAACTTAGTGTATAATTTTTGTAAATAAAATTAACATTCATGTTACTAGGAGGTAACTTGAATTTAACACAGCAATCTCACCTGGAAGTCGTAACTTGTACTTAAACATATTTTTGAAGAGATTTATTGATATTTACTCTCATACCAAAAGGTATATAAAAGAAAAAGTAGGTTTAATACATTGACTGATCACTGCGAAATTATTTCTGAAACTTTCTACGGGCGTAGTCGTTCGAATTGTCTGCGAGGCGGCTGTAAAATCGTTCACCCATAAAGTGAAATATAGGTTAAGACGGACTCTCAAAAATCATTCAAAGTACCGTAATCTCATCCTTTTATTTTGTAATTTCTTCTTACCACCAATTTTGAACAGTCGTTTAACATTTTAGGGCTTGTTTTATAGCCTTGTGTCTGATGAACATCCACAGTTTTTATTTCGTGTTACGACTCTTTCAATTCGATGAGAGTACGTCGAGTATTGTTTATGCTTCTCAGTATTAATAATAATACAGTCATAAGAGAATTAATCAGTTGCGTTATATATTTTATATTCAACCTCAATAAATCCGATTTTTTATTTCTTGTTGAGGCAAACATAGTATAAGCTACATTACATTTATGAACTAGCTACAAGATATAATCGTAAAACTTTCAACAATGTTTAATAAGCCTTGCAGGATTTCAAATGAATCAGATAATCTTCAATAAATACTTAGTTCCAGTTTGAGATCATTAATCATCTATTCTAAAGTAATGTTGGTTTTTTTAACAGTTTTAACCAGGCAAGTGACCTGTTGCGTAGAGGCAACGTTTATTATTATTTTATACTATTCTCTATGCTAAGATATTATTCCAATAGTAATAACTATAAAATAAGAAAAAAAATCAGAAGCAGCATTAGAATGAGGAACGGAGCAGGCGGCGGGCGGTATAGCCGGGGCGGTGTTCGGGAGCCGCGCGCCCACGCCGCGGCTGTCGGTGTCAGCGGCACCACGCTTAGTTGCTTAAATATCTTACTTTCACAATTGTAATAAGTAAACGTCAAGAACTCATCATGTTTAACAACAACATACCACGCCTTGTCTTCCTCTACCTCATCCATAAAATAAATATAAAATAATAGGTTGATCATACATAAAGCACTTTCAACGAGTTAAATATTTTGCTGTATTATGTAAGACTTGTAATAATATTGTAGGAAAAATATTAATTTTACCCAATCTCATATGAATATATTTTATGAGATTTTCATAAAATTATTATTTACATGTAAAACCTAATGAATCCTTGCAAATAATAAAATAAAATAATCATTTTAGAGAACTTCCTAAAAGGCCGTTGCTTATGAATTGATAATAATAATCTCATTCTGATATGATACCTAATATGAACCTAGATGATAATATAAGACAACGAATATCTAGCATGCATATATACAGCTTTCTTTTTGCTATTGAAACAATGGTGCTGATTTCGCGGGGGTTTAACTATTAACAACAGTTGAATAGTGCAAATGTTCACGTGTTCACATTCAAGAACTTTTAAATGTAATATTATTCAAAAGTATGATCGTAAAATATTTTATAATATGCTTCATGGTGTAATATTTTTTCAGTTTTATTACGAGTATAATTACTATATCGATAAGCAGATATTTTAATGTTGTGATATATGTATTAAATTTTATCACTAAGAATTCGCTTAAGATGGTGAGGGTAAATAAACCCCGAGTACACACTATCCTGACACGCCCGTTTCCTACGACGAACAAGTGACTAATGAAGCATCGCCTATCTAAATATTCATGAAGGCTCTATCGCCTATCTAAATATTCATGCTCGCTCCCAAAACTGGAAGCTCTAGCATCAACTCTCGTAACCTTCTCTCCAAAAGGATTAAGAGGAAATGTATTTGAACAAAACAAAGGTCTCTGAGTAGAAGAAAACGACTTCCTTTTAATTGCTTCCAGAATAATAGGAATATAATAGTGCAGATTGTTTTCAGTAACTATATTATTATTATTTTTCATATAAATTGCTTTAATTGTAGATAGTAGATACTAAATGTTTTAATGCAATTTGTTTTTTTTTTTAAATCTTTACAGAGAGTTAAGTAGTTTAATTCAAATAAGAACTTCAATTAAAAATGTGAGAAACATTTGTATATTTATCAAATATTAGGTTTTTTTTAAACCAACAAGTGTTGCAGCTATTATTACTAATTATCTGTAATTATTAATAATAACTTTTGACTCTGTTTGTAACCTAAATAAAAAAAGGTCATCCATATTTTCTTCTTAATATTGTTTCAAAAAACTGTAAATAGTTTAACACCAAAGAAAGTATCTCAGGAACGAAAAGTGGAGATTGTAAATTAGTACAGAGGTCGCGCGATTCCGTACGCGCTGACTTGAATGACTCATAAACGGAGTGATTTACTGAACACCTCAAGATTTGTAGAGTATTAATTCCAGTCATTGGCCTGAAGGATCACAAAGCCAGTAAACCTTACCATTAATATTATTATTGTTATAAAATTAAAGACTTAAAAAGTACGTATAGATCTTAGGAAAAAGTATACCAACCTTTACGGCAAACTTAATTTAAATAATTAAAAAAAAACTACAAGCAGGTCAATTTTTAAGATGTTAAAATTATGATTCTGCAAAAGGGTTTTTGTAATCTGTAATATGCTTTTACAATAACGTTTAAGCAAACAACATCCTTTAAATGAAATATGTAATGAATCTGTGACGCATAAGTAGGTATAACTTAAATATCAATCGACGCGTAGTTTTATCAACCTTTCCAAGAAGATTTTATTCGCGTATATACATATTTTCTCTTTAATAATGACATTTTGTCTTTGATGTATTGATGCATAATGTGGCACGACGAACTTGATAAATGAAATATCTTAAAGAAACTTCTGACATAAAATATTCTCAGTATGTTGTAATTTTTGCCTTAAGTGTAAAAATTATAATAGTCGTTCGTCTTACTACAGTCAAATGTCATTGCTTTAAGCCCATGCTGTCATCCATACTTCCATACTAATATTATAAATGTGAAAGTGTGTTTGTTTGTTTATTTTTGTGTTTGTCCTTCTTTCACGTTGAAACGGATTGTTGGAGAGCTGGAGAGTAACATAGGCTATATTTTACCGCGAGAGATTATCTCATTCCCATGGGAAAGACGTTACTTTACAACCCAAAAAATATTTATGATCAGAAATATTTGAAACTTGGTATTAATACTCCTCAATACAATTAAATAAATACGTGTTATAGCATTTTTCAAAATTCATCCCATAAGGGGGTAAAGTAGAGAATTTCTGCTAGTATTAAATAAGTTATATTTAAAGAAACGGCTATTTTAGTTACATAATATTGAGAGAAGTATATTTATCACTAGTTCTTGTCCATGGATCCGCTCGAGTAGTAGATACAACGATAATAAGTAAAATCCCACGTGTTACTCCAGTATATAAGCCATCCCTATTCCGAATTTCACTCAAATCCGTCGAGTCATTACAGCGTAAAGAATTAACAAATACACTCACCCACTCATTCATTGCTAAATAAAATTTCTATAGTATCTATTACCATTTTTTATCAATAAACGGTACGACGAAGTTAATTATTTAATTTCACTTTTAAAATAAATATTTTGTGGTGTAATAAAAATAATGGAAAATGCCTCGCAGAAAATTTATCCTTAAAATGTAGAAGATAAAGTTTACTCTCCAGTTACTCTATCCACCCGTAACAGTAGGATTGGGTATTTATATTTCACAAGCGACCAACCCTCGCTTTGCTTGGGTGCGTCCCTAAGTGCATTTCAGAAGATAAAAATAGTTATTGTGAGTATACCTTAGGATATAGACACACGCTGTATTAGGCCTTTATAAGACAATTTTCTAGTAAGTACATTGTTTTAATGTATTCCTTAGGATTTTCACAGTATTAGCCATGTAAGCTTACGAAAAAGTTCTTTTAATAATACACCGTCAAAGTTCAACCGTTTTGTACAAAACATTTACAAATTGTGTACTGTATAAACCTTCCTCGTTCATCGCTCTTTCTTTTAGAGAAAACCATATGAAAATCTTTGTTTTATACTATGTATAAATATAAATGAGTGACTAGCGTTCGACCAAAATGTTGCATTTTCTCCTGAAAATGAGAGCTTTTAACACAATTTTAAATTGCTAAATATGTTTATCCATTTAAATCATTGTAAATTTTGTATCAATGACAATAAATTTTGAGTACTTAATCAGTTAATAATTAAACTATCATTACACAAAATCAATATGTATCAGTTAATAAAATTAATTCAGTATATCGGTAGGTACTTGTTGCGTCAAAAGCAAACAGATATTGATTCAAGTATTTTTTTAGATCTATATATTAAGTGCACAATATGCACCAATCATTTTACTATTTTATTATGCGTATAAATAAGTAGGTTATATAAATATAAGCAAACAAATTCCTATGTATAGTGCGTATTGCATGTGTCTAAAATCTCAACACAGAACGCTCTAGTTCGGTATTCGTTAGTTTGTGATGGTTCCGTTTGATATTAGAATATTTGTTAGTTATTCAAAAATATTCGCCCTCGTTATTGTCTGTGGCAGCGTGAGCTATTATTGTTGCTCAAGGAATTCAGGCACAGAGCTGTGATCGACATCTATTTACTTTTGAACTTAACAACAGAGTAAACACCCATTATTAAGCGAACACGTTCCATAAACTCCAACATCGACAATGTCTATTGTAGTTCGACTAAACCGTTACAAAAATCACGGTTAATTATCTCATTAAAATATCAAACCTAGTGGTCTTTGTAGTTCTGACCAAATGTGTAATTTTATAATAGAAAAGTACACATAAGTTTATATTTTTATTAGTAATCGTTATTTTTTACTTGAAAATTGATATTTAGTACTTCTATTACGGTTCTTCGCTTCGGCCGTCATTGCGGACTGTAGCAAAAAATTTATAAACTTTTATGTCTTAATTCTTAACCCCTCCCATATCTTTTCCCGTCCCAGAATCAACCATCGTTCCTCTCTTATCGACTTTTTTGCAGAATTAAAAGCATTGTATTTTAAAGTTCTAGTTATTTAGTCGTTCCGGAGATAAATAAGCGCAAACAGATACAATAACAAAAAAAAAATACCATTATGGTATTGAACGAACCAAGTGAGATTACAACATTTGGCCGAAGGAGGCCACTTACACTGCTAAAGTACAAGAAGTAAATGTGCAAATGTCATATATCAATAAATTATATTATAATAGCCATGCTAGGTTTTTTCTTAGAGTAAGTAGAAAATTTAAAAATATTTCCACGATTATTTTATTGTATAATACCTTGGTGCGCTCGATCTTGGAATATGGCTTAGTAGTTTGGAACCCACAATTTAAGATCAATAACGAGGTAATAGATAAAATCCAGTATAACTTTGCCAAGCATCTTAACTCTAGAAATAATTCTGTCCAGCATGTGCTCTGTTATACAGTCTCTATAAAATCGTGGCATGAAAGGTCAATTATTTTTATCTGGGGGCACAGTAGTGCCCCCGCCAAGAAGAGCCTATACATATTTTGAGTAAGGTGTAGAGCTTGTGAAGTAAAGGCGCGTAGAGCTAGAAGCTTGGCTCTACATGAGATCTGATAGCTTTTTGACAGTGTAAACCATATGGTCTCGTCTTGGCAACATATTAAATGAATGTATGTATTTAATAAATGTTTTTGGTGAAATTTAAATTACTTTATCGATACATATATACAACTTTATCGACTCTTCATGTCTTTTGGGCCATATTCATTTTAGATGTCCAAGCACACACTCTCGTAAAAGAGATCTATTCCATGTATCTTTCACCAGGATGAACTGTTCTATTATGAATCCTATGTAACGTAGTTCAATAATTTTAACTGTTTTTGATAAGTATACATACATATACCTAACCTAACCTTACATAGTATTCACAGTATATACGTAGATATGCACGTTGTCAATCTTTATAACCAATAGGTACTTACGTTTTTTTTTGTTACTTGGTTAACCTGTTAACTTTTTTTGCATTATT